GGCCTCCCAAAGATATCTACTTCTTAATCCCTGAAACCTGTGAATATGTTACTTTACTTGACAAAAAGGCCTTTGCAGATGTGATTAAGTTCAGGATCTTGGGATGGGTTGATTATCCTGAATTATTTGAGTAGTTTGGTGTAATCATAGATTTCTTATAAGAGGGAGATGGAGGGTCAGAATCAGAGATGTGACCACAGAAGGTGAGGAAGAGGGAGGGAAGGAGGGAAGGAGATGCTAAAAATCCAGCAGGCCCTGAAGATAGAAGGGGACAGGAACCAAAGACTTCAGGTGAAAAAGGTAAGAAAACTAATTCTTTCATAGAGCCTTCAGAAGGAATGCAGCTGTGAAGCACCTTAATTTTTGGACTTTTGACTTTCGAAACTGAGTGATAATAAATCTGTGTTGTCGTAAGCCATTAAGTTTGTGGTAATTTGTAACAGCAGCAGTAGGAAATGAAAACGTTAATTTCCCTAAATTTCAGTACTTGAGTAACATCTTTTTAGTGTTCTATGGAAAGAAATACAGACATTTCTGTGCTATAAGATGGTTATCTCTAAGAAAAATACACAAAAGATTGAGTCACAAGTTGATTTAGCCACCTTAAAAAAATGGAACATCATTTTTATGTGACAGAACAAATGACAGGTCAATAATGGTTATTCAACATAGCTATCAACAATTGAATCTACAAATAAAATGAACAAGCAGAACAGAGGCATTCTCATAGATATAGAGAACATTTTGCTGGTTACCAGACGGAAGGGGGAATGGGGGAATGGGTGAAAAAGGTGAAGGGATTAAGAAGTACAAATTGGGCCCTGGCCAGTTTGGCTCAGTGGTTAGAGCGTCGACCTGCGGTCCAGAGAGACCTGGGTTCGGTTCCCGCTAAGGGCACGTACCTCGGTTGCAGTTTGTCCCTGGCCCAGGTTGGATCGTGTGGGTAGCGGCCACTCCATATGTCCCTTTCATGTAGAAGTTTCTCTCTCTTCTCTCTCTCTCTCTCTCTCTCTCTCTCTCTCTCTCTCTCCCTCTCCCTCCCTCTCTCTCCCTCCTGCTCTATCTGAATGAAAAATGGAAAAATGTCCTCAGGTGAGGATAAAAAAAAAGTACAAATTGGTTGCTAGACTGACAAACTTCAAAGGGAAGGGGGATTGGGGGGTGGGTGGGAAGAAATAAACCAAAGAATTTATATGCATAACCAATGGACACAGACAACGGTGTGGGAAAAGGCAGGAGGGGGGTGGGAGTGGGGGGGAGGGGGTCAATGGGGGATAAATGAGGAACATCTGTAATACCTTCAACAATAAAGATTAAAAAAAAATAATGGCTATTCAAACTTGAAATACAGCAGTTTCTCAAAAAATGAATACATGAGACTAACAAACAACTAATAATATTTGTTAATGACAAAATTCAAGCTTTTACACAAAAATTAGCATTTTGGAAAACTTGTAATCATCACTGTGAGTTTGACAGTTTTTTCAGTACTTAAAGACTTTTTCTGATGAGTCTGTGAAAACAATGAATATGGTTTTTAGATATTGTATAATGAATTTTCAATATTTAGGAGATCTGTATAACTCAATGTTTTCTAAATGATCAATTCGTGATGTTACAAAATCTGCATGAGTAAAATGTCTATCTAAAGTGCAAAATAATCAATAAAATTTTAAGGTAACAAAGCACAAAAAGTTCATTGATATGGTTTCAAATTCCACATTTCAATTAAGAAACTACCACTTGTCAAGTTTGGGTGTACTATCAAAGAAAATATTCACAGTTATCTGAAAAAGCTATTAAACAGTTTTTCCCCCTCCCCCAATTATATATCTGTACAAGGCTGGGTGTTCTTTACATAAACAAATTATAACAAGTATGGCAGCAATTGAATGAAGTAGATATAACTACCCTGTTGTCTTCTATCAAGCCAGGTATTTAAAACATTAAAGGCCCTGGCCGGTTTGGCTCAGCGGTTAGAGCGTCGGCCTGCGGTCCTGAGAGACCCGGGTTCGGTTCCCGCTAAGGGCATGTACCTCGGTTGCAGTTTGTCCCCGGCCCTGGTCGGTTGTGCGGGTGGCAGCCACTCGATGTGTTCCTTTCGCATCGATGTTTCTCTCTCTCTCTCTGTTCCTCTCTCTCCCTCCCACTCTACCTGAACAAAAAATGGAAAAATGTCCTCGGGTGAGGATTAAAAAAAAAAAAATAAATAAAAAAAAATAAAACATTAAAGACATTTGCAAACCAAAAAATACTGCCATTCTTCTCACTAGGTTTTTTTTTTTTTTTTGTATTTGGAAAACATGGCCATTTTCCATAACATAAATATGTTATTTATGCACATCAAGGGCTTATTATTTTTTAAATAAATTAATACATATTTAAATTTTTTTTCAGTTTTAACTTCTAATATGTTAGATATTGATAGAAATAACACAAAAACAAAAGCTCTTTGGGGTCTTCAATAATTTTTAAAGTGTAAAGGAGTCCTGGGACCCAAATGTCTAGGAACTGCTGCTCTAGCTGATTCCTACTTACCAGTTGGATTTCAATTTAGATTTTATTTTTTTGGAAGCTTTTCATGGTCATCTGGTTGGTTGTGAATGTCCTACATGCTTTATTAATAATACCTTACTTATTATTAGCAGCTCTTCCCAGGGCCATTATATTTTATATTTTTTATGTAACAGTTTGGAGATGTAATTAACATATCATACAGTTCATGTATTTAAAATGTACACTTTTTTGTTTTTTAGAAAATGCACAGAGTTGTGCAACCATCATCACAATCTATTTTAGGGCATTTTCATCACCCCAAAAAGAAAACCTGTGCCTCTTAGTAGTCACTCTTTATTTCCTCTTGAATCCCCCAGCCTTAGTAGAAGGCTGGAGCAGTAGCCTACTAATTTATTTTCTATCTCTATAGATCTGCTTATTCTGGACATGTCATATGAATGGAATGATGCTTTATGACTGCTCCCTTCACTGAGTATGTTTTCTAGTTTTATCCACATTGTCTGGGTATTTTATTCCTTTTTATGGCCTAATGATATTCCAGTGTATGGATATACCAATTTTGTTTTTCCATTAGTCAGTTAACGGACATTTGGGTTGTTTCTACTCTTTTGCTATTATGAATAATGCTGCTGTGAATATTTGAGTACATGTTTTTGTGTGGACATATTTTATCAGTTATCTTGGGTATATATCTAGGAGTAGAATTTCTGAATCATGCTAACTTTATGTTTAACAGTTGGAGGAACTGCCAGAATGTTTTTCAAAGCATATTATATTCCCACTAAATAGTATGTGAGGGTTTAATTTCTCCATACCTTTTTCAACAGTTTTTATTATCATTAGTCTTTTTAATTATAAATCTCCTATGGATGTGAAGTGGTCTCGTCATGGTTTTAATTTGCATTTCCCTTATTGCTAATGATGTTGAGCATACAAATGTCCATTTGAAGAAATGAATATTCAGATTTTTTTGGTGAAGTTAATATTGGATTGTCTTTTTATTATTGAATTGTAATGGTTCTTAAAGTTTTTTTTTTTTTGGTTTTGTTTTGTTTTTGGTATGTGTCCCTAGCAGGAACTGAATCTGGGACTCTCTGGTCCGCGGGCTGACACTCCAACCGCTGAGCCAAACTGGCCAGGGCGTAATGGTTCTTTATGTATTCTGAATATTAGACCCTTACAGATATATTTGCAAATATGTTCTCCCTTTCTTTAGGTTGTCTTTTCACAAAAGAGACAAAAGTTTTAAATTTTGATTAAGTCCAATTTATTTTCATTTTTATTGTCACATCCAAAAGCCATCCCCTAATCCAACAGGAAAATTTATGCCTTTCTTTTCTCCTTAGAGTTTTATCATTTTAGCTCTTACATTTAGGCCTTTGATTCATTTATAAGTTAATTATTTATAAGTTCCGAGGTAGTGATCCAAATTCATTATTTGGAATGTGGATGTACAGTTGTCCAGAAACATATGTAGCAAGATTACTTTCAGTATTGAATTGTCTTGGCATTCTTTTTTTTTTTTTTTTATCCTCACTGGAGGACATTTTTCCATTTTTTGTTCAGATAGAGTGGGAGGGAGAGAGAGGAAGAGAGAGAGAAACATCGATGTGAAGGGACACATTGAGTGGCTGCCTTCCGCACAACCAACCAGGGCCAGGGACAAACTGCAACCGAGGTACGTGCCCTTAGCGGGAACCGAACCGGGTCTCTCAGTACCGCAGGCAGACGCTCCAACCGTTGAGCCAAACCGGCCAGGGTTGTCTTGGCATTCTTGTTGAAAATTAATCAATGTGTGAGAGCTTATTGATTTATTTCCAAATTTCTATTCTTTTTCATTTGCCTATATCTTTATCCTCTATGCTTATACCAGTAGGGCCATTGTATTTTAAAGAAGATATCATAAAAGGATCATTCTTTAAGTCAACGCAACGAATTCAAGGGTCGCAATTAGCTCCTCTTCCCCACCAGTTTATAACTTTTCAACAGTGTCTTTTTCTTCAGTAGCCAACAAGATTGTGTCCAATGGGATCATTTTGTTTTACTTCCCGCCCCAACCCCAAATCATGTTCAGGTGTTTGGAGGGTTGGGTGGGGGGCTGGTTAAGCAAAAATGTTAGCTCTGTGGAAAGGAGCGCTGGTGTCCAATCTAGTTTACTTCGGGAGGTTGACGAGCAAGGCCAGGAGACAATGGAAGTATCTTGGCTCAGCCTTCAGAAACACGCAAGGTGTCAGAGGGAGGAGTCTGGGCTGTCAGTACCTTCCCAAACAGTGAGGCTGGGGTCTGGGAACCTTTACCCTGGGGGATAGGCTGGGGATTGAGGAGCAGGGCCTAGTCTTCCGCGGAGCAGACAAGACTGTTGTTAATTCAGTCGCAGGACCAGTGTAAAGGAGCTCTGCGGCCCTCCCGCCACCGGGTGCCCCCCGCTCTGTCTTTCCGCCTCCCCTCTCCTCTTCTCCCCAGCCCAGCTCCCAGCGCGTAGCGGAAGTGACGCGAGACATAGCGGAAGTCGCTCCAGACGCGGTGTTGTGCTGTGGGGAAGAGAGACGGATTTGTAAACCCCGGAGCGAGGTTCTACCTACTTGAAGCCGCTGCTGTGCGGAGACCCCGGGTGAAGCCACCATCACCATGTCTGACCAGGTACTGGGCTGGGGGCCGTTGGATGGCTGTGGCCGGGCCTGACTCGGCAGGGCAGGTCTGCCTGCCGCTGGGCTGGGGGGATGGAAGCGCGGGGGAGGGGAGCGCTGGCTGGGAGAGGGGCGGCCGGTGGGGACTCGGCGGGCTTGGGAGGGGAGTGGACTAGGGCTGGCAGTGGCGGGGCTTCCCCACCGGCCTTCAGGAACCATCCAGCCCCTCTCTAGGCTCGCTCATCACAGTCCCGTAGCCTCTGGTCTCGGCCTCCCTCAAATCGTACCCCTTGCAGAGCCCAGCTTCCACCTCCCTGGGAGAGTGAGCCCTTGGGGAAACCCGTCTGCCTCCCTCTTTAGAGGACTGATTGCAGAAACAGGGCTGTAGGCCCCAGTTATGTAACGGGAGAGACTCTCTGCCTGGGAGGCTCCATGGCCCTGGAAAGCGGGTAGACTCCACTTTTTGGTTTTCGATCTTTGGATAGTCCGGGTGTAGGGGACGTGGGGACGTGGGGACGTGGGGAGGGGGACGTTGTCGGGTGTTGCTGGGAACCTAGAAACTCTGCTTTCCGTTCGGATTGCAGCTAGGATCTGGCCGTTGCTACTCTTTTCTGAGTCTTTTTTCGTGTGGGGATGCAGAGTTGTCCCCTTTTTTCTTGTGCTTTTCCATTTCTTACTCGGGATTGGTTCAGCAACTCTCCAGTTGTAAGAGAGAACTCAGAATAATCAAGAAACAAAGTAGAACAAAACTGCTCCAGCAACAGAAAACATTTCCTCTGGGCATTAACCTGAAGATGACTGATAACTTTTGAGGAATAGTTAGGAAATCTTCGTGTATATGGAGCAGTTGCAAAACATTTGCAGAAAGCTGCCTGTTATGGCAAAGTGCTCCATCTCAATGCTAATACCAAGAATTTTCTTGGGATTTGCATTCAGTCTGGAGAGGACGATTGTCCCCGGTGAGTTTTTCTTCGTCCTTTTCTAGTTAACCACGTTTATGGCTAGTTTTTTAATTAATAAGGTTTTTTTTGAGGGGGGGGGTCTGGCCTTCTGTTTCCATTTGCTAAGACATTTTTGACTTTTTAAAGTGTTTTTGGACCTTTAAATCTTGTTTAGTGATAGTTATATAGAAAACTGTTTTTCATTCAACTCCATAATGTACTAGACATTCTAAATTTAACACTCTTGTTTCCTTGGCTTATAACTCAGTTCAGTTTTGTACCTCTTGGCCATAGCATGTGAGGCTTTTGTGCATTTGTACTGTTGTGCGAAGTGTACATGTACATTTTTAAAGCTTAACTAGACTCTAGATTAGTTTTGAGTGGATCTTATTAGTAACAGTCTAGATTAATTCCCAAATTGGTATGGGAATGGCATTATAAGTATCTCCCTAGATAGCTGTTTACTTGGTTGCCAGGAGGAGAGAACAGGTGTAAATGTTTAGTTTCATCAGCCTTTTATTTTGATGCTTAGAAGTGGCTAGGAAGCATGTTGAAATTTACTAGTTGGGCGAAAGAGCAATGTACAGAAAGAATAATAGAGTAAATTATAGAATTTATTGCTCCAGTTTCTATTCTGGTCATTTAAGAAAGACTTGAAGGAAGAAATAAAGGACTTTGGACATTAATAGGTGGCTTTAGGCCAGAGGGTCTTTAGATTCTTTTCCAGGGGTCCTCAAGGCCAAATGGTTTTCATGATAATACTAGGGCATTATTTGTCTTTTTCACTCTGATTCTTTCATGAGTGTTCAGTTGAGTTTTCTTTTTTTAAATTAAAAAAAAAATTATTGATTTTTTTTTTTCTTTTTTTTAGAGAGAGAGGGAGAGATAGAAATATCGATGTGAGAGAGAGACATCAATCAGCTGCCTCCTGCACACCCTCCACCAGGGATTGAGCCCACCACCCGGACATGTACCCTGACCAGGAATCAAACTGGGACCTCTCAGTCCATGGGATGACACTCAATCCACTGAGCCATATTGACCGGGCTCAGTTGAGTTTTCTAAGGACTAACATGACTGATATCACAACAGATTGAAATGTAGAAGCAGATGTGAAAATCCAGCCCCTTTCTATTAAGCCAAAGAGATTTGAGAAAATGCAGAACAGTGCCACTCTTCTCACTAGTTTTGTTTTGAAAACTATTATTTAAAAATTGATTTTTAGAGAGAGAGAAGGCAGAGAGAGAGAGAGAGAGAAAAAAAAAAGAGAGAGAGATAGAAAGAGAAACATTGATTTGTTCCACTTATTTAAGCATTCATTGGTTGTTTTTTGTATGTGCCCTGACCAAGCATAGAACCCACAACCTTGGCTTATCAGGGATGACACTCTAACCAACTGAGCTATCCAGTCAGGGCTTTGAAAAACATTTTATTTATTTTTTTCTTCTTTAATTGATTTTAGAAAGAGAGAAGAAGGGAGAGGGAGAGAAACTTTGATGAGAGAGAACATTGAATAGCTGCCTCTAGCATGCCCCTTACTGGGGATTGAGCCTACAACCTGCGCATGTGCCTTGACCAGAAATCAACTGGGACTTCTCAGTCCATGGGATGCTCAATCCACTGAGCCACACCAGCGGGCAAAAACTATTTTTTTTTTATCATCCTTACCTGAGGACATTTTTTGTATTTATCTTCAGATAGTGGGAGGGAGAGAGGGAGGAAGAGAAAGAGGGAAACTTTGATGTGAGAGAGACACATCGAGAGGCTGCCACCCACACGACCCCAACCGGGGCCAGGGCCAAACTGCAACCAAGGTATGTGCCCTTAACGGAAACCGAACCCGCGCCTTGCTGGTCCGCGCTCTAACCACTGAGCCAAACCGGCCCGGGCCAAAAACTATTTTTAATAAATGGTTTCGGGCTCCATCCTTAGTGAGGGGTGTGCAGGAGGCAGCCAGTCCATGTTTCTCTCTCACATCGATGTTTCTATCTCTCCTTTCCTCTCTCAAAAATCATAAGAACACATTTTAAAAAATTTTAAACTTATTTGCTAATATATGATGGGTTTATTGTTATTTAAAAATGAATTGATATTTAAGACATTTCTCAGTTTCAGTGTCTAATACTGTAAATTTCAGTAGATCTAACCTGACAAGAATTTTATGGGTTTCAAAATAATTTTTCAGAGCATAAAATTTGTGAGACCAAAAAGTTTGAGAACTCTAGTCTGATAGACCAGTATCATTGTTAATAATTGGGACCCAGTACAGTTTCATGTTGGGTGCTGAGGATTTAAGGAGGTAAGAAGCTGAACTCTTTTTTTTTTTTATCCTCACCTGAGGACATTTCTCCATTTTTTGTTCAGATAGAGTGGGAGAGATGGAGGGAGGGGGAGAGAGAGAGAAACATCGACGTGAAAGGGACACATCGACGTGAAAGGGACACATCGAGTGGCTGCCTCCCGCACGACCAACCAGGGCCGGGGACAAACCACAACTGAGGTATGTGCCTTTAGAGCGGGAACCGAACCTAGGTCCCTCCAGACCGCAGGCCGATGCTCTAACTGCTGAGCCAAATTGGCCAGGGCAAGAAGCTGAACTCTTAACCATTAAGAGGCTTATGAGAGGGAGTAAGAATCCCAAGTTACTACTGTGCAGTATCAGCAGCATGAGACTGAACCATTGTCCCCAAAAGATAATCTTTAAAGGAAGTTTTATTAGAATGATGTATTTTCTGAGGCACCTTTCAAGACGTTATTGCCTGGTGCTAAGATACTGAAATTGGGTAATAATTTCAGGTTAAATTAGGTAGACACTAAATTCACATAGGACTTAGATTTATGGGTTTTCTGTTGATTAATGAAATATGATTATTTTTGGAGTTTGAGTGAAACACTTGTTATAATTCTAACAGTTGCAGCATTATCCAGTGGATTTTTGGACCATTATTGAATAATCCTCTCAAACAAGTTCTAAATTCAAGGTTCATGGACCCTAAAGGCTGAAAATCCAGTGAAATTGTATGGAGTGTTTTGTATTTGTGTATGTGTATATTTTTAGGGAGAAAGGTCCCATAACTTTCATCAGGAGTACATGATCCCTCAAAAGAGTTTAAGTACTAGCCTGTAACAAATAACAGAGATTTGATTGGGTGCTCTCCTTTAGTCTAATCTCACCTTGAAGCAATACTAATGAGCACTTATATAGAACCCCAGTAAGGGTAATTTATACAAATATTTTTCCTTTTTCCTTCCCTGTATTCAAGTTTATACTGTTTCTTTTCTCTATCAAAATCATCAACGGCAGCGTGTACTTCAGCTCTTCAGTTCAGGTCTGTTAATTTGTAATAATTGGATGACTAATTTGCTGCAAATCCTAACTGAGTCTGTTATAATAAGGTTGACTCTCTCCATCCCCACCTCAGACAGAGAGATTGATTAGATGATTTCCTTTTATTGTTAGTCAGAGATTTGAAAGCATTATGTAATTCTGGTTATCTGTTGGTACCTAACAAACTACCTCAAAACTTAGTGGCTTAAAACAACAGCCTTCTATTTTGCTCATAAGTCTGTAATTTGGGCAGGGTTCTTTGAGTTGGACTCGTCATGACTTTTTGGTCTGTGGGGCCTCTGCTGGGATTACAGTACTCAGATGGCTGGGTGTTGGCATGGCTGAGCTCTTCATGGAGTCTCATCATGTGTTATTTTCAGCATGAAGACCCCAAGATATTCAGATTTATACCATCTCAGGGTGCACAGAGAGAGTGAGTATTCCCAGAGAACCCAGGGTGGAAACCTCAAGCCTCCTAGGACCTATCATTGGAAGTTAATTCTGCTTTCTGTTGGTCAGGCAAATCATTAAGGCCAGACCATATTCAAGGGAAAGGCATTTATATGTTTACTTAGATACTGACAATTATTATTATTTTCTTTATTGATTTTAGAGAGGAAGGGAGAGGGAGAGAGAGATAGCAACATTGATGAGAGAGAACATCTTTTGGCTGCCTCCTGCATGCTCCCCCAGTGGGGATTGGGCCCACAACCCGGGCATGTACCCTGACTGGGAATTGAACTG